GTCGTTGTGGGGATAAGAATGAGAGCAGGAGGGGAGTGATAGACTCGCTCGGTTCCTGTGTTTCCAGGATCAAGCCGTGCTTGGGCTGGAACTGCTGCACCTGCAGCGTCTCCACGGGGCACGGCTGCAGCTGGGGCGGCTGCTGCCGAGGACACCAGGCAAGCGCTGCGGCCTCCAACGGCCCCACCGGACCTGCCCCCCCGGAGCAGAGGTGGGGGCAGAGCCACCCAAGCGCCCTCGTGCTCCGCTGCAGCGTGTTCCCCGAGCCTCGGAAGAGAGTGGGACTGGCCAGCGGGAGAGCTTTCCACCGTCATGCCCGTGCCCCCGCCAGGATCCGGACCCATGGGGCGGAACCGCGCGGTCCAGGCCCGCTGCGAGCCACAAAACAGACTCAACGGGCCGCGTGCGGCTCCTCAGCTTCGCCGTGGCCGCCCCGGCATGTCCCGTGGCCTGAGTGTTCACCACTGTTGCCTGAAGCCAGTCGGTGTGCCTGGCTCCCGGTCTGTGGGCTGTGCCCGATGGGCTGCAGAGTGCAGCTCACCCTCCCCAGCACCTGCCAGCCGCCAGGCCGCCCCTTGTGCTTCACGCGGAGCCCCCGGGGGAAGGCCAAGTCACCTGCGTCTGGAAGGTTGGGCTGCCAGCGTTCCCTCTGGCCACCCGGAAGAAGGGCAGGGAGAGCACCTTCTGGATGGCTTTGCTCACGAGCTCCGAGCTCACCTCCGACTCCAGAGGAGGCTTCAAGCACCTGCGGAGGAGGAAAGCGGAGGCAGGGAGAGGTCAGACACCAGGCCGAGTGGGGTGGGAGGTCGTGCGACACTTGCGCAGCCACGAGGCCAGGAGGTGAGGGGCCAGGAGGAGGCGCTGGATGGAGGAGGGACGCCAAGCGAGATGGCCGTGCGGAAGGGAGGCCTTGGACCACTGGCTGCCTTTGGGGGGAGTCAAGGGGGCTCCGAGGGGGCCGTGGGGCGGCTCCGTCCTGAGAAGCCTGCTTGCAGAGGTGGGCACGATCCCCAGGTCAGTGGGGAAGGACTGAGGAGCAAACAGAGACGGACACCAGGAGAAGCTGTCAAGCGGCTCTCCCTGTGTCACGGACTTCATCCTGGCTGTCCTCTTTGGGTGAGGGCCCCCTAACCTATTGGAAACAGCCGAGGAGAGTGCCTGAGAACCCTCCCCAAGCAGCACTGTGCCCACCTGGGCCTTCCGGTTCCCAAGCAGCC